CGTGATTAGAAACTTTGGGTCTTGGGGGCATATGGGGAGAACTTACACAAGTCAGAGGTCAGCACTCTGTGGCTTATGGGCCAAAGCCACACAGGCTGATCTTCTTAGATAAACTTCTCTGGAATGCACTCACCCTTATTCATTTACATGCTCCAATTGTAGTAGACCTGAGTGATTTTTACAAAGTGTGTGGGGCACAGAACGAAGAATCCTTACATTTTGGTCCATTTTGGATAAAAATGCTGGTTTCAGGACAAGGACAGACTAAAGACCCAAGGGTGGGAGGGAGGCTGCTTGGCTGAGGACTATGTGGGCAGACTTGATGAGACAAAGACAGAACACACCAGAAGTATCTTTCATTTAGAGGTCAGCACTCTGTGGCTTATGGGCCAAAGCCACACAGGCTGATCTTCTTAGATAAACTTCTCTGGAATGCACTCACCCTAATTCGTTTACATGCTCCAATTGTAGTAGACCTGAGTGATTTTAACAAAGTGTGTGGGGCACAGAACAAAGAATCCTTACATTTTGGTCCATTTTGGATAAAAATGCTGGTTTCAGGACAAGGACAGACTAAAGACCCAAGGGTGGGAGGGAGGCTGCTTGGCTGAGGACTATGCGGGCAGACTTGATGAGACAAAGACAGAACACACCAGAAGTATCTTTCATTTGTTCCATTTGATGCAGAATTTTCTGTTGCGCCAGAGAACTGGGCATTGCAACAGACTGTTCTGCCTGTCACCTGGCATCCAGTAAATTTCATAATAGTTTCTAGACTTAAACCAGTGATATCAGAAGATTGTTGTGTGGGATGCGGTAGGTCACTGTCTGGCTAGGGATGCACTGGCAACAACTGCAGTTGTTTCTAGTAAGATGTTCATCTTGCTTGGCTCTTCAGTCTTCAGTATTGCTGCCAATTCATTTGTGACTAATATAGGCAGCAGATGTTGCTTGAATGCCTAGAATGAGCGACTCATTAACTAACTAGGTATGCCTGCCCTCATAAAACACCTTTATCTTGGAGGAGAGATATGGTAGATAAGCATAGAGTTGGTGGGACAGCTCCAGGGACATAGGAAGGAGGGGGCAGGATGTTGTGTTTGGGGTATGGTTGCAGAGCCCAGCTGCCAAGGAAACCTTCCGTGGGAAGGTGGTGTATGAGCAGACACCAGGGAAGGGGGCATTCTCCAGGTTCTCATGATTTTGATGGGGCAGAAAGGAAATGAAGCTAGTTTATCACAAAACTTCAAGTGGCCCCATGACCATAGTGGAACAGGGAAGAGAGAGTGGTACAAGGTGATTAGAAGTGGAAGCAGGGCGAGCTCCTGCTGGGGTTCCAGATTGTTTCAAGGACTTTAGCTTTTGCTCCTGCTAAAGCTGTACCACAGAAGGGTGTCCAGCCTAAGTGTCATCTGACTTGAATTGTGCTGGGACATCAGGCTGCTGTGCTGAGGTCAGTGACAAGGACGTCATCACGGTATCCCAGGGCTACATTGATGGCAGTAGAGGTTTTAAAAAAGACAGATTTTTGGTTATATTTTAAAGGGACAGCCAATGAAACTTAATAATGAATCAGATGCAGGGTGTAAGAGAAAGCCATGAGTCAGGAATACAGGAGATTTTAACAAGAGAAAGACAGGAGTGGAGAATATGCAATGATTTTGACATCTGGAAGGAGGGCATCAGTTTCAACTAGGACAGGCAGAAGTTGTAGATGGAACAGATCTGCAAAGGAATATAATAAGCTCAGAGTTAGGCCTTTGGGACTATCTTCACATCAAAGTGCAGCAGTCATACAAACAGTAAAATACATTATTCTGGAGTTCAGAGAAATCCAGGTTAGCACTGTGAATTTGGGAATGATGCGCAAAGTCATGAGACTAAATGAGATGCCCAAGAGAAAAGAATTGTTGGGCCTGGATGGCCCAGGTCTTTGGAGATTGGGTCAATCGACTATTTGTTCCTACAACAAATATGGAGATAATCGACTTACTAAGAGAAAAGATTTATTTGACTTAGTTTTAGAGACTCAAGGCAATGATGAGATAGATCCATTGTTTTGAGGGTGCTGGAATGGAATGCTGGGCGCTGGAGGTTGAGCATAATTGTTCACCCCAAGTTTGGGAAGTGAAGGAAAGGAAGAAGAGTCCAGGGTCCCACAGTCCCTTTTAAGGACACATACCAGTGATCTAAATGCCTCCCTCCAGTTCCAACCTCTAAAGGTTCCACCACTTCCCAAAGCTCCACTCTAAGGACCAAGCCTTGAAAACAAAATATACCTTTGGGAGACATGCAGGGTCTAAACCAGAGGTTGAAAGCCTGATGGAGTGTTCTGGAAGTCCATCCAATCAATAAAGTGTTCTTAAGTGCAGACAGTGGCTCCCTCTGTTAAATTTGCCTGTTGTGTCATTGTGTTTGATTTCAACTTGGTCTGTACCCATTTCCTTTACAGAATGAGGAGAAACCTGTGCAAATGATGTTTAAGAAGTCGACTTTTAAGACGACCTATATAGGAGAGATATTCACCAGGATTCTGTGGCTTCCCTATGTGGGCAATGAGCTGAACATGATCATCCTGCTTCCGGATGAGCACATGGACTTGAGAACGGTGAGGAGCGTGGGGCCTTGACACCCTGCAATGCCAGAGAGTAGCATTTGGGTTTCTGCTGTGTCACCTCTCCCAGGTCACCTTCAGCACATTTTTATTTTTCATGTTATTAGGGCAGGGGTGGAACCCAGGGCCTGGAACATGTTTGAACATGCTTAACAAACACTTCACCACTGAGTGGCAGCCCCAATCCCTCCCAGCTACCATATTTACCTCCAGCCACACTGGGCAGTATAGAGCCTGATCATCATAAGTGACCCTGTGTGACAGCTCTGTCCTGGAGCTGAAAGTCTTCAACTCTCTTCTAGGTGGAAAAGGAACTAACTTATGAGAATTTCATGGAGTGGACCAAGCTGGACAAGATGGACGAAGAAGAATTGGAGGTTTTCCTGCCTCGGTTTAAACTGGAGGAGAATTACGACATGAAGGATGTCCTTTGTGGTCTAGGTATGACTGAAGCCTTTGATCAGACCAAGGCAGACTTTTCTGGAATATCCAAGGAAGGCTTGTCTCTGTCCAAGGTTGTACACAAGGCCTTTGTGGAGGTCAATGAGGAGGGCACAGAGGCTGCGGCTGCCACAGCTGCCATAATGATGCGGAAGTGCATGATGTTCGCCCCATCCTTTTGTGCCGACCACCCCTTCCTTTTCTTCATCCAGCACAACAAGACCAACGGGATTCTGTTCTGTGGCCGGTTCTCCTCTCCCTGAGGAAGGGGTCCTGTATGTCAGTCCACTGCCTTTTGCCCACCCTTCCTTCCACTCTCCATAGTTTGCCTGTAACCCAAGTGACCTTATCCATAAATGCAGTGACAATTAAAATAAAGGGCTTTATGGTGGAATCCCACCTTCACACTGTGTGTTTGTCGGCATGTGACGGGCTTTTTAGGATCTGATGTTGCACTTGCGGGAGTCTGTGGTGTCATTCCTGCTGGAGGACCCTGTGGCCGCCTTCACAGGCAGCCATGTGTCTTCCAGATAGAAGAGAAAAGCCGTTGTGGGCATTCAGCAGTTATGGAATAGATTGAAGAGGGCTGGGTTTGTGTGGGAAAGTCACTTTGGAATTCTAAGGGAAGGCTGAAAGGACTTCCCCTGGTTATTTGCAGTTTGTAGCAGCCGTGACCCCCTCTGACATCACGGATACTGCTCATGTGCTGTTAAGCTGTGGTGACAGTGGAATTGGGGAGCATGAGGAAGCATGGGGCTTAGGAGTGATGTAGGAAAGGGAAGGCTGAAGGCTTGATGCTTTGGACAGTCATCCTCGTTGGTTTCCTGTTACTATAGCAAAAATACCTGAGATTGGAAAAGCTGAGCAAGGGGCACACATGTACTTCCAACACTTGGGAAGTAGCTGAGGGAAGACCCGGGATCAAGGCCACCCTCTGCTATGTGCTGAGTCTGTGGCATTCTTGGGCTACAGGAGACTGTTAAACAAAAAGTGAAAGTAGTTAAGGCTTGGTACTTCATAAAAATGACTTGTTTAGTTCACAGTTCTGGAGTTCTAGAAGCATGGTTCCAACTTCTGCAAGCTCAGCTGGGGGGCTCAATGATGATGGCATCACAGTGGCAGGGGAAGTGCAGGAGTGTTGAACAGTGTGTGGAGGTCCAGGCTCCCTAATAACCAACCATTCTCACAGAAGTTAATCGAGTCCTTTGAGACCAACATCAATCCCTTTCTAGACAGGAGCCCACATTACCCAAGTGACCCTTACTAGGTCCTACCTCTTACAGGTTCACCACCTCAGCCACACCACACTGGTGACCAAACCTTCACACATGGACTTTTGGGGGACAAACCATATCTAAATCAGCATCCTCCTACTGTTTAGCACTCCTGGTATTTTAACTTTTGGTTTATTATTTGTGTGGGGGAAGTATGATGTCTATGTGTCTTCCTGTACCTGTGTGAGTGAAGATATGCCACAGGCCAAGTGTGGGTGTCAGAAGAGAACCTTGCTGTCTGTTCTTACCTTCCACCTTGTTCTGAGACAGTCTTTTGTTGTATGCAGCCATGTCTACCAGGCTAACTGGCCCGTGAGCATCTGGGGATTCTCTCATCTTGCCATAGGAGTGTTGGGATTGCAGTCTCTCTGCATCTGATCTTGGGTGGTTTCTGGGCATCCAAACTCAGCTTACATAGCAATCAGTAATGCACTGAGCCCTCTCCCAAGTCTGGTTTCTTATAGTTTTATTTTTGTTGTACTGAGTATTGAACCTAGAGTCTCATATATTAGCTTCTGAAAAGAATATAGCACTTCCCTGGAGTTTCCATTCTAGGGAAGGAATGGGAGAGGGATAACCAGGAGAGGAGACATATAAACCTCATGCCCTTCCAGATGGAGGCTATCACTGCTCAGCTCAGCCTGCTCCAGTCTTAGATTTATTGTTTTTTCATTTTTTTATGTGTATGAGTGTTTTGTCTCTATGTATATGTACCGTGCATGTCTGGTACCTGTAGAAGCCAGAATAGGACCTCAGATAGCCTATTACAGACAGTTTGAGCCAGGATGTGGGTGCTGGGAACCAAACCCAGGTCTTTGGCAAGAGTAGCCACTGCTCTTAACCGCTGAGCCGTTTCTCCAGCGCCATTGCTCTTTCATTTCTAAGGAGTGTATTGTTGCTTCTTTGTTTGCAATAATTAAACTCTAGACTGATATATTGTTTCCTGTCTGGTTTCTTATAGTTTTATTTTTGTTGTACTGAGTATTGAACCTAGAGCCTCATATATTAGCTTCTGAAAAGAGTATAGCACTTCCCTGGAGTTTCCATCCTAGGGAAGGAATGGGAGAGGGAAAACCAGGAGAGGAGACATATAAGCCCCATGCCCTTCCAGATGGAGGCTATCACTGCTCAGCTCAGCCTGTTCCAGTCTTAGATTTATTGTTTTTCATTTTTTTATGTGTATGAGCGTTTTGTCTCTATGTATATGTACCATGCATGTCTGGTACCTGTAGAAGCCAGAATAGGACCTCAGATACCCTATTACAGACAGTTTGAGCCAGGATGTGGGTACTGGGAACCAAACCCAGGTCTTTGGCAAGAGTAACCACTGCTCTTAACCGCTGAGCCATTTCTCCAGCCCCACTGCTCTTTTATTTCTAAGGAGTGTATTGTTGCTTCTTTGCTTGCTATAATTAAACTCTAGACTGATATATTGTTTCCCAACTGAATTCTTCACTTTGGAAGCACATGATGCTGGGGTAAGACCACAGGAAACTGGAGACCTCCCTGTAACAACATGTGCCTATTAGATTCTCTTATACTAGCCTATCTCCCATAAACTTGGCCCTTTCTTTGAGTGTACAAAGCCCCTGCTCTGGCTCTGCTACCCCTACCACAGGAAACTGGAGACCTCCCTGTAACAACATGTGCCTATTAGATTCTCTTACACTAGCCTATCTCCCATAAACTTGGCCTCATATGACATCTTTTATGACCCTTTCTTTGAGTGTACAAAGCCCCTGCTCTGGCTCTGCTACCCCTGCACTTAGTAATTCGACTCCAGATTGCTCCTCTTGGACCTCTTCTCCCTTCCTTCCTCCCTGCTGCAGAGTTCTTTCCAACTGCCCCCTCCCACCCTGGGTCCCCTCCCTGCTTTGCTCAGGTACACTCTCATACACCTGCTCAGGAATTTCCTACAGGGAATCCAGGAAA